TAACACAGAATGAAACTCCTAGCCTTTGCTTTGATCATATTTAATAAATTTTTTGAGACAGTTTTGATAATTAAGTTGCATTGACTAGCCTTAAACTCATATCTTCCTGCCTCAGCCTCCCAAGTTGCTGACATAGAATACAACATTTACAAATGCATAAACCTTAGAATATAAAATATAAGACAAAGTACAATTACATGCTATGCCACAGGTATATCAGATATATAGGAAAATACATTTTGAGGGGCTAGCAATAAAATCAACTAAAGAAATGTAGTTATTTTCCAGCAGGTTCAAAAAAATCTTTATTCCGATCAAATAGCCTAAATTTGCTGTGGATATCTAACTGAAAACCACTGCTCTAAAAATACTAAATTAAAATAAATAAAATATGGTGACCAAGTACATACTTATTAACAGTTAAAACTGAAATTATAATAACACTCTTTCTGCTGTGACTGCCTGCGTCATCAGGCAGAGCACCACCAGTACTCAGAGAAACTGGGGTATCATGAGCTATCTCCCTCAAAAGACACGGTTTCTGAAAATTATATAACATTTCATTCACATTTAACATGGGCAGTGCTGACCCTTGCTTGACCTTCTCTTCTTATTGCTCAACACTTCGTCTATGCTCTCATCAATAGGAACAACAAGTGAAGATAATTGTTTCCAACGCCTCTCTTTTGTCATATCCAATAATAAGTCTCTGATTCTCATCCATGAGCCTCGGAAAATATCAAAGTGGTCATAACTGGTGAAACACCATCTTGAATGGTATTCCATTCACATTTAGAAATCAGCCTTAGCCAGAAAAGAAACTGTTAGGAAACTTGAACAATTAGGACAGTTAGTGATGAGAAACAAGAGTACTTACTGGAAAAATAACATAAAACAGTTAAAACAAAATTCAAGGTTTATTATGATCACGAACCATATCTCTTTCATAACTAAGAAAACTGTTAGAACTATTGCAGGAAGGCTTTCAAAAAATCCCAACTTTCCAGATAAGTACAATTTTTTAATTTAATCACATTTTCTTCTTATGAAAATTGTTTATTTCAGTTACCAAACCAAAAGAAATCTTTTCACAATCTGATTTTTGGAGGGCATGAAGATGAGTATATTTTTATGAACAACAAAACACTTAAATTAATTAAGATAAGTTACGGCATAATGAACAAATCTAAATTAATTAAAAACAAACTAGTTACAAGAGGTTATGCCAAGGGAGTATTTCCAAATATACTCAGAAATAGGGTTTCAGCTAAGACTGAGTCCTTTATATAGATAAAAAGTTATTTGGGGGGATAATCCCAATGAAAATTATTGTCTTAGGTCTTTTATTAATGGGACAAAATTGGTTTTATTAACAGATTAACGTGGGTAATACACGGTCCATATAATACAATATACATGTTGGGGGAAAAGTAAATAAGATGCCAAATGTCATGAAACTTTCATGGTTGCAATGTATATTTTAAAAACCAGATTATTTTAATCTGCATTTTTCTGTCTTACCATTAGCCCTACTCAATATGTGTACACATTTATAATAACTTCATTGATGTTCATAATGAGGGCTGCTATGTCTTGTGAATAATAATTGATTTGTTAAATTAGCACTGAAACAAAGAAGCCTGGAGACTGGTTTTTAGCTCAGTGGTAGAGTAGTTGCTACCATGTCTGATGCCTTGAGTTCAATTCCCCCAACAGCTAACCAAACAAATATGTCTTGCTCTATAGCCTAGGACAGCCTGAAACTGTTGATCCTCCTGCCTCTTTGTGCTCTTAATTACTGGATTATAGATGTGTGCCACTATGAGTGGCTCAGGGTATATGTGTGTGTGTGTGTATTTGTGGTATTTTTAAATTGTTGTTATTTTGGTTTTGTTTGTACTTTTTGAGACAGGTTTTTAAATAATCCATCCTGGCATAGAACTTAAGCTGAGGATGGCATTGAACTCCTTATCCTCTAGCCTCTGCAAATGAGTGCTGGAAATCACAGGAGTATGTGGTAAGGGTATATTTTTATTACTTAAAAAATGATGACCTGGTCTGGTCTTTTTTTTTTTTTTTTTGGTCTTTTGAGACAGGGTTTCTCTGCGCCTTTCCTGGAACTCACTCTGTAGCACAGACTGGCCTCCAAATCACAGAGATTTGCCTGCCTCTGCCTCCCAAGTGCTGGGATTAAAGGCGTGCGCCGCCGCCGCCGCCGCCGCCGCCGCCGCCGCCGCCGCCGCCGCCGCCGGCATATTACCTTCAATGCATGGGGATTTATCCTCTCCCTTCATGTGCCATAATTACCAATTCTTCACTACGAAGCAGTTTGGACTGCCCGAGGGAATTGGAAATGAGAGTGAGTAGGAATAAAGAGATAAGGGAATCCTGGGAACTGTGAACTCTGGCAAAACTAATTAAATATTTTTGTTTTAATCCTGGAAAAACAGGATTTTTCAGGAATGAGCCAATGAAATATGAATCTACAGACTGATACTACAGAAATTACTACTGAATTAGCTGGAGACAGGCGAGTTTATTATACTGCTAAATAAGCATGATGGTCTATGCTATATGGTCTACAAAGAATAAAGTGAGGTGAGGAACTTGTACTTTTATCCCCAATAGCCTGAGATAAAATAGGCAGTATTGAGGGTTGCATGGGCCAAAGGAAGTTGGTAGGTGAGCTGTTAGTGAACATTGTTATTTTATTCCTACCCTAGGTGACCAGCTTTCATGAGATAATTGGTTATTTATTGGTGGCTATCCTTGTGTTCAAGAGAACCCAGGTGCCTGACCTGTATGCATACTGATATAATTTGTGTGTGTGTGTGTGTGTGTGCACGCGCGCGCGCATGCACGTATATGTACAATTTAAGAGACTTTATAGCCCTTTTTCTTTTTCTTTGGTTTTTTGAGACAGGGTTTCTCTGTACAGCTTTGGTGCCTTCCTGGAACTCACTCTGTAGCCCTGCCTGGCCTTGAATTCAGAGATTCTCTTGGCTCTGCCTCCCGAGTGCTGGGATTAAAGGCGTGCGCAACCACTGCCCAGCTGGCCTTTTTTCTTGATGACATTTGAGAAGTACAATGGTATACCTGAATTTTTCTTTAAATGTGCCCCCCCCACACATGCTCCACCTTATTCCCTTAAGACAGGGTGGTCCCTCACAGCCTAGATGTTAAACTTACAGATTTACCAGATATTTATCTGAGAGCTGGGGATTTGAACTCAGGTCCTCATGCTTTCTTGCAGCAAGTTCTCTTAGTTATTGATCCATCTCCCCAGCCACACCTGAGTTTATTTGCACTAAAGTATCAGCTCCAATTATTCTAGATTAGTGGCAATTGGCCGAACATTCACTTTGCTGCTAGCTGACTGGAATGAATTTTCAAACCTGGTGTTTCAAAAATCAACGGGATTAGATGGAATGTAACTTAATGGGAGAACACTAGCCTACTATGCCTGAAGCCATGGAATCAATTTCCTTCAGGGAAAAGAAACAGACAAAATCCCCCACAAAACAAGTTCAAAAAGAGAGCAATGGACAGCATAGTTAAACTACCACCAAAATGTTTTGTGAGGTTTAAGCAACAATGGTTTTTTCACTGCCATGTGGTCTGCTTCATAACTCCTCCAATAGCCATTATTATCCTTATTATTCATGGGCAACCTGAGTTAGGCAAGACTGTAATTCCACCGATTTCAAGAATTACAATGGCCGGGTTCTGGAGAGATGGCTCATCAGTTAAGTGCTCTTGTTGCTCTTGCAGAGGAGAAAGGTTTGTTTCACAGCACCCACATGGTGGCTCACAACCCTCTATAACTCCAATTCCAGGGGATTCAGCCCCCTCTTCTGTCCTCTGTGGGCAACACACCCACGTGGTACACAAACATAAATGCAAGCAGGAGAACTATACATATAAAATAATTTTAAAGCTAAAAATAATTATATGTATACTTTGATATACTACTGCTTAACTTTGTGCGACAAAATGTTTCTCTTCTCACTAGCACACTAGCACACTACAGAAGAGCAAGCCAACTGAACACCTACTTAATTTGCCTAAGACACCATGGTTGATAGTAGGTGAGTGGAGATTTCAATCCAGAAATTGCGCTTCAAAAACTCCTATGGGCCAGGGAGATAGCTCAGCAGGTGAGAACCTGCTTGGCCCTTTTGCGCTCCCCCCACTCCCCCCGCACTGCACTTAAGGTGTGCAGTTGAAGTTACATATGAACGAATTACAAGTTCAAGGTGAACACATCAGAAATGGCACACCGAGGGCCAGAGTTGGTCCAGCAGCTTATATGGGGCATTATAAACTATCATATAAGAAAATGAGCGCCGGGCGGTGGTGGCGCATGCCTTTAATCCCAGCACTCGGGAGGCAGAGCCAGGTGGATCTCTGTGAGTTCGAGGCCAGCCTGGGCTACCAAGT